GGCCTCAGCATGGCCGGAGAAGTGGTGCGTCGGTGCGTGCCTGGGATCTGAACCCGGGCCGCCAGTAGCGGAGCTCGCGCACTTAACCGCTAAGCCATGGGGCCGGCCCTGAGGCTGCTTTTTCTTCTACAATATCATGCACTTTGTTTATGTATGCAAGTCAACAAGGAATATACACATTGGCTGTAAAATTACTGATTGAATGATTTCTATGGGGTTCACAATTCCAGATCATTTCTTCTGTTTCACAAAATATTTAGGTTTCTCTCCCTTAGAAGATGACTTGCACTCACAACACAAACTTATTTAAATATTACGGTACAAAACACTGAACTTAGAAAGTAAAATTTTTCTACAAAAAAGTGATATTATTCATTCTTAATGAATTTGTAAGTATTGACTTATGATTTACTTAATCCATGCAATTTACTTAATACATACATTTATTCCCATTTCTAACCATGAATAAACAAGATCTGGACATGAATATTATTAAGATTAAGTAAACAAAGTTGAATGTCTAAAATTAGGGAAAAATTAAATTCATTAAAAATTAAATTCATAAGAAAGATTTTGTTTATGATTAATTCTCAAATATACTGGTCTGAGTATTGACAGCTATTAATAAAAGAACCTTTACATTTTATATTATGAAATAAAGCTATATATTATATTCTGTATATATATACATATTATGTATATATATATATACATATTATGTATATATATATATACCCCAAAAAGTGCATTTAAAAAATCTTACAACCAAATGCTGTCTGACATGTTTACATACCAAATCAATAATTGAATTGATGATTATTTGGCTATATACAGCTTTATTTCTGTCATTTTAATTTTGATGGAAACAAGGCTCAGTGAAGCCAAATATCACCAATTACCGATATACACAGAAATAATTATTATTAAATATAAGTATATTTGTGTTATCAGCATATATTGATGTGTATGCCAGTATTTATGTGTATATATACAAATATATGTATTTATATATAAATATAATATATGTAAACATACATAGTATACATATATATACACACAATAACAGAAATAAGGCTCTATATAGCCAAATAATCATCAGTTCCATTACTGATTTTGTAATTAACCATATTAGACAGAATTTGGTCTTCAGATTTCTTAAAATGTGCTTTTTTGTCTTTCTGATAATCAAATACATTTACTTCATTGATAAGACTTGTTTTTGCACAAGCTACTTCTTCATCCAGAAGCAAGAATGTTCTTTAGGTTTTTTTTTTTGTAAGAATTATGCATATTTGTGAGTGACAGTAACAAAATTAAAAGAAAACATAAGCACAACAAAACTTAAAGGCTCTTAACTAAACACCCTCCCTGCCAACATTCAGTTTCCCACTTACTCCCGCTCACATTCTCTTCTAAACCCCACAAAGTTTATTCACGTGCGGAGTTCCTCTTGACTGTCAGGATGAGATAACAACAGTCTCTGATAATGACAGTGACTTGCACTTGTAAAATACCAAGCGAAGTTTAACTGTGCTCAAAATTTTCATACATCATACTCTGTGAATAATTCAATGATGTGTGGGAAAAGGGGGGTTAGTTTTGGAAAATTTGGCCCATGTAATCTTTTTCGAGTAATTAATTTTCCCTGGTGAAATAACACTGTCATTTTTTTCATGTCTTAATGTCAAAATGCAGTGAGAAATTTGGTACCTAAGTGACACAGCTTTATCATTTCCCAGCTACTAAAATGTTAAAGAATTTAATATAAAAATGTATGGTTTCTTTGAAATAAGTCTTATGTACTATTTAACACAGGTTTGTGCCAATCATGATACATAGTTTAACTCCCACATATTAAACTGAATAACAGATTTTACTCAGGCCTTTCTCCCATTAGACAAGGAATTCTATCATTTAAATAGCAGGATCCATAAAAACCCAAACCCTAGGAACAAGACAATTTAGCACTAAGTTCTACAAATTAGCTTTCAATCACATCTCTTTATCCTTCAGGCATTCTTTCAGAGATTTTACTGATTTGATCGTACAGCAGAAGGTTAAATTCTCACACAGTGATCATTAGCAAAAAATAAACAGAGCAAGTACTAAAGCTGGCTTTGCACCTACTGAAAGCTGCAAGTGTCTGTACTCATGTGATATGCATCTTGCAAAGCTCGGCTGTTCCCAGAAGGCCACTCCATGAAGACTGAGAGAGCAGCGTCTGCTAGTGGTGCCTGTGAGTCACAAAGAACAGAGAGAAGCTTTATAACAAGGATGCTAGAAGGCATCACATAATTAGGAGGCAGGCTAAAAAATCTGGTTTGTACATCTCCTTGCCTAAAAAATCATGCACATGAAATGGTTATTTTGATTATTTTTATAATTCTTATTAGTCATACTGAGAAACAATGGCATCAGCAATATTTTCTAGGTCTTTTCGTTGGCTCCATTTATGAAGCACTTTGCTAAAATTGTTTCATTAATCGCTCATCGGGCGGATTTATTTACGGATACAGGACAAAAGCGTGACTCCAGAAGCAAGTGGCATGCTGTTCCTGGATGGCGATGGCACTTGGGTTTCTGTGGGCCATCCTACTTTACCTGTGGCGTTCAGCGGGCACTGATTGAATGCCAAGTCGCCTGCTGGAGTCCTTTTCCACACCATGGACATCAGATAATCCTCTGGGCATATTTCATAAGGTGCTGCAATTTAAAACAGAGGGACTTGAATGCCAGCAGTGTTTATTTTTTTAAATATTGGCAATAAACAGTCCTCAAATGCATCTCTCTAACTGTAGAGCTCTTTCATTTTCTTTAAAGTACATTGTTTACTGGAATGTTAGCAATGTCTTCAAGAAAAAGATCACTAGGTTCCATTTCATTATCTACAAAATCTTCACGGAAATGTCTTTTCTTTTGAAAGTGGTTACCGTGTAGGCTTTTTAAAAAAGTCATTTGGATTTGCCTATAAATTGAACATTACATTCAAGCATATAAATCAAAAGTCTTTCCAATATTCATAATGTTTTGGGATGTTATACAATAAAATGATTTCCAGTAAACTGAAAGCCTTATTAGAATTGTTGACTGTAAGTGCTAAGAGTAAATAAACATAAAGTGCCAAGTATATAACTTTTCATTTCTTCATATAACAGCAATGATGTCAATCATACTCCATCATATAAAAATAAACTGATCTTATCTTTTGGCCTTATTATTTTCAAAAGCTCAGTTTAATTACTGAGGCCAGAAAGTTAAAGGAGATTTCCAGAATAACACATGTATACCAGAAATATTTTAATGGAAAGCCAAAGAATTCTTGAAGGAACAAGTTTTATCTGCACTGTGTTAAACCTGATGCCTTGCTCCTAGAAGGGACGTATTATCCCTCCTCTAGACACACTCCTGCTGGGTTTGTTGCACAGCACTCTCTCTTATATGTTCACACATGTGTCTTCACTTCTTGCCTGGGATCTTGTGTCTTCTGTCTCTGTATCTTGCACTAATGGTGTGTCTGGCACATAGAAGTTGCTCAAAATTGAATGAATAAATGAATGAATATAAATACCTTTGATAAATAAATAAGGACCTAAAAAATAAGAATTACCTAAAATATACATGAGTGTGACTTCCTGGGAGAAATTTCTTCTCTTGGAAACAATATATTATTCAATCCACACTAATCATAATTCTACTGATACTAATTCTACTTCAGAATTTATGAACTCATCAGGATATATTATGGTTACTAGTAGGTGAAGAACGCAATTTGAGGCATTACCATCTTTATAGCCTCCTTATAATATCCTCTTTATAATTACCTAAGATAAGATGAATGGTTTAAGCATTTTAGAACTGAAGGTGACATTGAAGATCCCCTATTTCATCTCTGTCCTCTTTACAGATGAGGGCACCAAGGCCCCAGAAGTGACGCTTGTCTGCGGTGGTGGAGCTGATGGAGGCATCAGCAGGACTAGGTTCTAGAAACCTGACTCCCCCATAGCCATCGTTGACTTCCTGCATATCCTCTTTGCTGCCTTGAATTGTTCAAGATAATCTCCCTCATGCTGAGTTTTATATATTTATATATATAAAATCTTTAATCTAGGTTCTCACTAAGACACAGAGGCAACCGTCTCCAACTGATGGAATCTTTGCTCGGTGGATGGTTTAGCAGTTGATTCCACCTTCGGCAGCCCTGTTTTCATAAAACATCTCCTTCTCACCCACCAACCATTTCCTAACGGCCAAACCTAACTCCCTCATCTCAGTCCTCACTCGCCGGACCTTCCCTGCAGCGCTTCAGACTTTGACTCTCCCTCCTCCTTGAAAACACTTCCTTTAGGGTCTTAGAAAGCTGTTCTCTCTCAGGCCTCCCCCAACCACTTGGACCATTCTTTTTCTGTCTTATTCCCTGCGTCCTTTGCAGAATCATCCACACCTTATTTTTTCCTGATATCAAACACTTGCCTTAGATGATTTCAAACATATTAATAACAGTACTCATAGTGAGCCCTTACTAAGAGTCGCGCGGGAATGGCCTCATTTAATCTTCCCCAATAACCTCATGGGGTAGAGACTATTAGCCCCATTTGTCAAATGGGAAAACAGGCACAGAGAGGTGAATTAATTTTTTTTTCTGATTCCAAACATTCTTTGTACTACCTGTTGGATCCAGAGGAGAAACTAAGCATATGAGTGGAGGGTTGGAGGAGTCATCTTGCCAGGGTATCCCCACCCCTCTACCTTAGGGAGCCAAGCCATGACCTCCCCTTCAAATCCCCGCCCCTGGACTGTTACAGGGGCAGGAGGGCTGGGGTTGGCAAGGCCCCTTCCTGGGACCCAAGAGCTGGATTTTCCACTGAGTCTAGCGTGGGAGTGGCAGTGATGAATAGGAGTGAAGTCATAATAAATCAAAAATATAAAATAATAAAATGAAAATTAAAATCCATAACAAAAAAATGGTCTAACTCAAGTGAGGGTAGGGGCAGCCTCTGTGCTGGGCTCCCTCTTCCAATATTACAAGAACAGAAGAGCCAAGAAATAAATTAAGGGATGCCTCTGCCATCACCAGCCTGCAACCACCCACTTCCATACTGGCCAGGGAGAGTAGCAAGCTGGTTTGTCTGTCCCCCACCCCACGAAGAGCAGATGCTCCCAACCCTGGTACCCCATCCAGCCTCCCAACAGGTTGCCATGAAGGCCCAGGGAAGTGTCTCCCGAGAGGGCGACAGTGTCAGGAACAAAAGGCAAAGCCCAGAGATGAGACAGTGGTGGAGAGTCACTGCTCTGGAGCTGGGCTGTGCCCGTGTTAGTGCCAAAGAAGGGGAGGTGGTGGAAAGAGGGGAAGCTGGTAAATGTGGGAGCCACGAGAGGAATGCCATCAGTGGCGATCAAAGCTTCCGATTCCCCACTCTCACTTGGAGTACTGCAGTCGAGCCTTGACACATGGCCTCTCCCTCAGTTACACATTGCTAAAACACAAGTTTCTCTGGTTCATACGTTTTTCTTGGGCTTGAGGCTGGCATATCATACACAACTGCTGAGTGGCATTCTACTACTGGCTGTTCCAAGGAGATCTCAAGGTCAATCTGCCTATGCTCCAAGTCCCACCATTTTTCTCCACGATGCTGCTTGTTTCCTCTCCTCTATTCCCTGTTAGTGGCGCCTCCAATCTTGTACCCAAGGCTAACACCATCAACCTCATCTTCTACTCACCCTTCTCTTCCTCCTAACCTTCCGTCATTCTACCTCCACCAATTACCCAGGCACTCATCCCGTCCCATTTGAATTAGGGGAACAACCTCATTGGTCCATTCAAGCATTTACCTAACTAACATCTGCTGGGTCCTGCTCTAGGGAAAACCGACAGCGCATGAGAGAAGCTTCCGCCTCATGGAGCTTTCAGTCAAAGGGGAGGAGGCAGAAGTCGAATAATTAAACAAATCATTACTTGAGTACAATTATGACAAGCACTGCAAACAGGAAGTACAGGGTGCTGTTTCAATATAAAAGCTGAAGAACCAAAGAAGTCTTCCTGGAAGAAGGGACACTTCATTGAGACTGGCTGTCCAAGATGCAGTAAGTGCTCCAGGCAGAGATAACAGCATACGCAAAGGCCGGGAAGCACCGAAGAGCTTGGGGTGCCAAGGCCAGTGTTGCTGGAGGGAAAAGAATCAAGAGGAGTGTGGAGTAACGGGCTGGAGAGACAGGCTGAGACTGGTGCCCGGAGGGCCTTACAGGCAGCCACTGACAGGTCCTAAACAAAGGATTGCCATGATCCAATTTTTCACTTTAAGATTAGTTTGCCTTCTGTGGAGGGAGGAGAGGGGGAGCAGAGGTTGGGGCAAGACCGCTGAGGAGGCTGAGGCAGTGAGTCAGTCCTGAACTGGTGGCTCCAGGTAGGATGGCTGGACTAATGGTGCAGACAAGTAGGCGGACACAAGGCAAATGTGGGAGACTAAATGACGTGAGGAATGAGAGCCCAAGGGTCAGGGATGAGGCCCGCCATCTGAGCTGAAGAGCTGGTGTAAAGTGGGACTGTTCTCCAGTGTCTTCTCCTTTGCTCCACGTCTCATGCCACGCCAACACAGCAATCTCTAACATGAAGGTTAATCCCATAACTTGCTGCTTAAAGCCTGTCCGTGGGTCCCCAGTAACAACAGGATGAAGACAAGGATGCTCAGTGTGATGACAGGCCCTTCCAGTCAGCCCTATCCTCCCGTTCCAACAACGATTCCTACTTAACCTCCCGTGCATCAGCCACACAGAATTGTCATCCTCCAAACATTCCACACCAATTCACACTTCCCCGACTTTGCAAAGCTATATCCTCTACTCAAAATCCTCACTCCACATTTTGTTTCTTGGTAAAATGCCTATTTACCTTTAAAACACATCTTAAATGGTATGTATCTGGGAAGCCTCCCTTGATACCTCAGTCTCTGAATACACAAGTGTTATTGCTCTTCTCACAGTTGATTGAAAATATTTGGTTATGTGCGTGAACCTCCCCAATTGCCAAATTTTGCCTTTTAGGAGACTGATCATGTTTTACTTTATTTCTCTTTAATCTGCTGTAATGAACTGCCATGCTGTCCAGCATATAGCAGGTTTGTTAAGTAAATCACTTTTACTGAGGAAACAGCATGATAGACCAGCTCTGTCCAATGGAACTTTCCTGCCATGATGGAAACACTATGTTTTCACTGTCCAATATGGCAGCCGCTAGTCCAAGGTGGCTACTGAGTATATGAAATGTGGCTGTAAGACTGAGAACTGAAGCTTAAATTTCATTTAATTTTAGTTAATGTAAATTTTAATTTTAATAGCTACCATGTTGGACAACACTGTGATAGGTGATAACTGTCCTTCTGTAAATGCCAACCGAAACTACTATGGAATATGAAAAAAAGGAAAATTATAATGCACTCTAAAAATCACAAAATACAACATGCATAATGTATTACATAATTGGATTCTATATAAAACAACTATTTTTAATAGTTGCTTAATTTTAGTCTATTTTTAATAAAGATATAGCAGTAATTAACCTAATATTACTAATACACTTGATTATTCTTTGTTTCATCTACACATCCAGCTTCTGTTCAATATCTCCCTCATTTGCTCTTCATTTGTAATCTTTCACTGTCACTTCACTTGTACCTTTTTCAGTTTTCAAACTCAAATTTTCTTCAGTT